CAGTCGACTGCAAGATCATATGCGTACTCTTCGCCCGTCTGACACTCGGAAATCCGGTCTACGCACACATTTGGATCCCGGTCTATCTTCTTGTACACATGTATTTGTCCGTGTTGACAGCGTCAAGCAACCGCTGCAATATCCGTATGATGGTCCGTTTAAAGCAAATTCTCGCAAGGATAAGTACGTTGTGATTGAGAGGATCAAAAATCCGGACTCCGTCAGTGTCGACAGACTCAAAGTTGCATTCATCGATGACGAATCTCACTTAGATCCCCCTACTGTAGTCACTTTACCCACAAGTTCCCAAACCTCCAGTACAGTCATCCCAGGGAACCCCGAACATAAAGCGCGACGTACTGACGTTCACCGGTCACCTATCCTGAAGCAAACACTTGTTGGTCGAACCTGCAAGACTCCTGCTCGCTTCGCAGACTACACCCCTTGAGTTTTGTCACATTATCGAGCGTCATTCCCTTTCATTATTCCTGACGCTCTAGGGGGGAGTACTGTGATGTCTGTAATCCGTTGTCACATTTACCATTCTTCCTGAACTTGAACAACACTTTGTAATTGTCGTTCATATTGTATCATGACGTTTGTTTTAATGTCACGAATACACAATTTTCCGGGGCGACCTGCTGACTTCTTGCTGAACGAGCGTATTTACGCTCCGTTGAACTGTTTGTTGACTGCTGAACCAGTGGCACTAAATCTCTGTGTTTGTGTCGACTGTTGAACGTCGCAATATATCCCTGTAACATTTTTTAGCCGTGAATAATTTTTCTATCGTGGAATATATCACGCACGCGGAACCATCTGTGGGAAATTCCGACAAGTGAATATTTCCCTTCACAGCTTGTTACTGCATGTGGATCGGCGTAGTTGACTATTGGTTCTACATATTCGTGAGTCCCTATTTGACTACTCATTCTTTTCCTATTGTGATTTTGTGATTTTGTATTGGTTACTTTGCTTATTAATTTATCCAAACACGCTGATAAGGTCCTAGTCCGCTACACATCTCAGAATACATTTTCAAGTTTCGACACATATCATCTTTGGCAGTTTTTAATGTTCGAAAACTAAAGCAAGTTGGACAACAGGTTGCTCTTGCTTATTCACTAAATTCGCCTGGAATTCATGAGTTCCGCGTATCAGACACAGGAAGTTATTAAACAAAGTATTTGAGCCAACTTCTTGGTACTCTCCGTTTTCTTCCGACTTCACAACTCTCCAATCCATGGGCCACTTTAACCCTCTATGCAAGGGTACTCGCATAAATCCAACATGTTAAACGGCTAATTCAAATGATATAGACAGTTTATCGCAATAGTTGCTCCACTCAAAGATATACTAGCAAAAACATCTTACAGTTAAGCAGAATGAATTAATAATTAGCTCTCTTGTGAACTTGTAAATGTTTAACAGCAACAACAAAGAATTTAGAATCACTTTTCTAAGCTTCAAGTAACCGTTATCGAAGAAAATCCACAAAACTCCCGTGGTTGATGACAATTTGATTCAAAGAGCCGTAAACGCTTTGAAGAGCACCATGTCAATAAAACGCGACATTGTCAGTAAAATTCAGACTCTCGGCTGAAACTAGTAGGGCAGTCTACATCAAAACACATGACAAAATTACACATCTAACTCAGTAATGTAACGATAACGCAGCACTTATTTTGCAAAATCAACACAAACCCTTTGGTACCTGTAAAATATTAATGGAGTTTCTAAACATCCATTTCAAGCTGCTTTTCTACCTTTTGTCAAGATTAATGACAAAATACTGGAATACGTCTTTTTATCGGTTTGATGTGGCAACATATTTTTATGTATTGTATAATCTGCTTGAAATGTGGGTTTATTGTTGACCATATACAAATTGCTACCTACATAGAGACTGGCGAAAATTAGTGTGATTCATTGATATTTTGTTACAAGTTAGAGCGTATGGGTAGAAGGTGCCTAAATTTCAGCCCACTCACAAAATACACACGCCGAAACTAGAGGTCTGATAAAGTTCAGCGTGTTTGTTGGTATATAATTAATTGCTTGTTTGATGCAAGCTATGCAAACCCCTCCGAATTATTTTGTTGCGAAATTTTTCAAAAATGTGTTGTTTTAATTTTTCCACCAACAAAAATTTATCAACCTTTAAAACAATATATCAACCAGTATGAAACTCTAGCAAACACACCTCACTGCTGAACTCTAAACGAAGAAAAAATGGTATAGATGAGCAGCGGGCCGTAAGACGCACATTAAATACGAAATCACTCACGCAGCACTAGTTATCCAGCTTCTTACAAAACAATTTAATATACAAGGGTGTGCAACAAATATTTTTGAGATAAATTTGGACCGTGGGATATCAGTGAAACGCGTGAAATGTACCAGAAGCGCAAGGGAAAGTTACTACCTGGCTGACAACTCCATTGACAGTGGTGATCAAATATTTGTTATTTATATTTTTTTGTTTTTCGTATTCATGTTTTTATTAAAAATAGGTAAATTTTATAAAATCGCACAATATTTACATAAATGCTGGACTCACTCTCACCTACTAGTTTTCCTGCCATAGGGTAAGCATAGGCAATGTTTAGAATTTATTGGGCCTCTGCTATGCAATGTTTGAATCGATCGTCACAACCAGGACAGTTACTGGGTCGTCTTTCGATGAGTCGGGCATACCAATCACATCACTCAATTGTGAACACATTCGCCTGTTCAGACGTCATAATTCAGATGCGTCCAACGTGCGTTGGTGAAGTAGTGGTTACACGCTCGCCTCGCATGTCAGATGTCCGAGGTTCAAATCCCAGCACGACCATTGGATATGCACTGCTAATGAGCTCTAATAAGTGCGAAACTCGAGTCCAGTGCTTCCCTTTGGTGTGGACTCACCTGAATGATTACGCCAGAACAGAGGGACGACCATTTAAACGAGCGTGGTGTGGCTATGAACAACGTTGGAATAAATTGACAGTATGAGTCTTGCGGGTCACATAAAACCCTACAAGGTAGTTCAGTTTTATTATGAGCAACCCACAAGTAAGTTTGCAAAAAATTTTGTTTTACAATTCGCGCCAAATATTTGGGCAACCATTTTTTGTGTTAAACAAAAATATGTAATCTGATTATGATTTTGAAAAAACGTACATGTCTTTACAAGCAGTTTGTTTGAACGATAACATACACCCTTGAAAAGTGCAAAATATGTATTCGACAACTTGATTTACCAGCCAGTACCTGATTTAGTAACAACAATATTGATAAGGCTAGCTCTATTCAGCGTGTTTGAGCCTAGATAATGTTTAAATGGGTGGTTGATAGAACTAATTTAGACCAAATGCGACCTCCGTGAAGGCACAAATATTTAGATCCCAGCCATTTTGCTGAGATATTGTCCAAGTGCTTTCTGAATTTTGTATATTGATGTCTTGCCTTTGGTCACAACAAAAGAAAGCTGAAGAAGATGTCGGTGCTTGTGTACTAGAACAACTCCACAAGTTTCCTTTACTCAGTTGATGCTTTAATCATTATTTTGCTGTGATACTGCTTAGTTTGAGTAAGACCGAGTGCCAGCTCTCACCGGGCTGTATTGGTTGGCTCAAATAATGCATTTAATGCTTTTGCGAAAACTGCCCTTGCCATTAGCCCATTGTACTAGCTATAACTGCAATCAGGTAGCATATTCGTGAACTTTTAATTTGTGGCTTGATGAATGACAAGGACACCCAGTGAACAACGTTCTGTCTTGAAATTTAGCCACAATGCCGTTAGTATTGATTTGTCTCATGGAGAAAGTACATTTTAAGGGCACCGAAGAAACAAAGTGACGCTTCTGACCGAATAACTCAATTTTAAATTGATGGGCTTGCAAAAATTGATTTCATGAGACAGCATTCATCTACTTTACGCCTTCTTGGAAACGGTTCTTCAGTGAAACGGTTCTTTAGTGATGAAAAGAGTTAGAGGCTAGAAAACTTCATTTCACGAAGAAAAAACTGATTTGAGCACAGTTTATGAAAGCTGCTAAGTTTTGTCGGTAAATCTAGGTCGTGTTAGCTCCATGTCTTTGTCCTTTCATTCTGTCAAACTTTCATGGTGCTGATTCACAGGGAATTATTAAATACTATGGCGGAGCAACACCGATATCGTTCTTACAAGCCAAAGACTTCATGAAACAGACATTCGAATAACTGCAAGAATAAATTATTATCTCGGTTGACGTCGCTATTCTCTGGGATTAAATTGTGTTGATGAAATTTTTTGGTGACCGGAGGGGAATAAATCTGCAATGACAAAGAGGCTTTATCTTACAATCAACAGCGTACTTCGGTATATAGCACCGTTTTCATCAAATGGCCACAAATTTAATCCGAACATGGTTGGTTAAATCTGTTGTTAGGCTTCTTAAATATGTTGCCGGCAGCTTATAGGGGTTAATTTTGTAGATGCTTTGAGGCACGCGTTACAGACTCTACGTTATTGGAGCCATTAAGCTCACAACTTGGAAAATAAACTGCGCGTTGAAATCAGTTTCCCAGCTAAATGAAAGTGCCACAAATTATCGGAAATTTATAAGCACGTCCAACTGTATGCCATTTGAACACAGTGTAAGGACATTAGAAACTCTGCTCTCCAAGACAGCATTATGTATTTATCTTGTCGCCCGTTACCAGAGCAAACAAAATGTTTTTTCTCAAGGTTTCAAAGAACGTTACAAATTTTACGCGTTTATCAAAAAATAGAGTGAGAAGTTGACAGGCAAGGTTAATAATCCCGGCAGCAAATTTTGTCAGTGTTAAAAAGATAGATATTCGATAAAGAATGGCCGTACGGTATGAACGACAAGAGACACATTTCTGGTTAGATACAAACTATTTTACCTAGACAAAAAATGTCTAAATTCGTTTTGCAGATTTGGTTTTCTCTTGTATTGCACAAGTTCAGATGAAATACAAAGTGCATTGTAATAAGTTGTACTATTTTTGAATTTACTGCTAAAGAACATTTACCACGATCTAAATTAAAAAGTACATTAAACTTTGCTTCTAATAACATTATGGCAAAGGTTTTAGAATCTATAAATTTCCAACTGTTCGGCATCAATCACGCCTTATCTAATTCAACGGCAAAACTCATCCGATTTTCAAAACTGACCAAAGCCTCCTCGTGATTAACCTTTTGAGAACACGGTAATGCGATTTTTTTTAGATAAACAGACCCTACATATTTCATAAGTACTGGGAGAGCCTCCATTGCTTAAAGTATACCTGAGTCAACCCATATTCATTAAAAATCTTAAAAAGATATGCGTGGCAGGTAATGAGACTAATAAATGAACATGACTCAAATTCAAGGTGATAAATTCCCAGCGGATGATTTAGAAACGGGCTGTGGCAATAGTTAGTTTATGTCTTTATATACATACATAATTTACTTGAAAGCAGCCCCAAATCTAAGAGTTGCGAAATACAAGATCAGTTTGACCTTTAGATCATGGAATAGTCGGGTAGATATTAAAAATTAGGCAAATAAATCTAGCTCCACCGTATTCATAAGGCATATATCCTCCCCAGTTTTCTTATTTAATTTCCGTCGCTGAAACCTCCCGTCCGTGGTTCATGAACCTGTGTACGAATGCTTAGCAATAACACACTATGACTCATTTATTACATCAAAACTAATACATCGTTTATGAAGCTTGAAAAACACTACTTTAAGCCCGTATTACTGATTTTGAACATTGAATTTTGTACAATTGGAACAACGTCACACTCAAAGATCGGACTACTTGATCCAAACAAGTATCTTTTGCATAGCCGTACGCGTACTCCTGGTTGTCTACGTTGGGAACAACCAGCCATCCACATTTTTGGCATTTTGATTGCTGACGTAATTATCCCAACCACTTACTAATTTTTGCCTTTTCATCGAGACCTGCCGCAGAAATGCGTTTATTATGTAGAAAAACGTTCCAATAAAAGTAAACACAGTTTGTGTAAAATAGGCCGTAATGCACAGTTACAATGTTTAACCTCGTTTTTACCAGATTATTCTAAACAGTATGCACTGATTTAGCCTACAGGACACAACACGAAACACTAATATTTAAATGGGTGCGACCATATAATGGCCCGAACTTATCCAGATAATATGTACACTGTCCCTTTTAGTTTTTTTCATATCTCTAACAAATGCTGTCACTTCTGTTTTTCAGCATGAAATTTATTCTATGCAGATTTGAAATGTAGGTTTTAGGAACATGTGTTTACAAAAAAGCCAACGTGGTTTAAATTACTAGCAAGACTGAAATGATTTTAAAGCTTGAAGAATTAAAGATGTGAGAAAAAGGCTTTTGGGGAAACAAATTGCAGATGGCAAACTTGACGAGAGCAATTGAAAACTTGTTTTAAACATAAATTTTCAGTGTTGCATCGAGTGTCATCTGCTATTTAATGTGGAATGCATGTTTGGTTTCAAAATAAAATAATTTGTCTTCAGAGTGCTCCAAATTTTGCAAATAACTAGTTTGTGGTTGGCCAAAAGCATCACAAATATGAGTCATAGTCATTAAAACTTAGCATTTTTTCAGCCAAGCTATTCAGTCTGTCGGTTCCATTACCGTTATGTATCATGCATGTGCCTCCATTAGACCAAAGGTTTTAAATTAGGTCAAAACACTCCGTTTTTTAACAAGTCTTGTATTTCAATATGATTATATTGGTCAGTGTTGGTCCGTTCAGCCTAGCTAAACATGTTAAAGATGTTGGATGAACTAAGGTCCTCGGAACACGGTACAACAAAACCTTTGGTTGCCTAATATCTTGTGACAAACGCATGCCCAGAAACTGCTTGTCAAAATTTGCCACAATAAAATCCGATGTTAGGCATGAATAAGTTTGTGCATTTTCGGATATGCTGAGCTTGCACATTTCAAAAGCATGCCGCTTTGGCAGTGTCAAATTTCCCCTAAAAAATGACTGTAAAATTTGAGTCGCCACACATACACCACATCATACCACCTTTATTGTTGAATGACATAGATGTGCTGGTTGCATAATGTTTTTTGCATAATGCAGTTCCTCCCTGTACAACAGCAACAGGTAAGTTGCCCGGAGCATTTCTTATGGAAATACCATATACGCTTTCTTGTAGCCGTTAATAATTGAATTAATCTATGTGCCACTGACTGATGCACAAGACCCAGTTTCATTAGGGCCCTGGGAGTTAGAGCAAATTAAATAAATCAGTTGATGTTGAGAAAGTTCTGATGATATAAGTGGTTTTTGTCTGAGGTCGCTCGTCAATAGGACCAGTGTTCTGAATCTCGTTCGCTTGCTACCATAACATTAAAAGTAATCAAACCATTCCGTTTCGATTAGCGGTCAAATAAAAGCAAGCTGACAAAACTGCATTTTTTTCGCCTTCTTCATCCGCTGAAATCAATTTCCTGTGCACATGTTCTGTGTAAAATCATCCCAGCAAAACACCCCACTAGGTATGACATGAACGATTTCTAGTTGGCTCATGTAAAAGAGGATCCTGACCGGTGGGCCCTAGTCCTCAGGTTTATTTGCCGTGGTAATCGCATGCACATACCTCCCATAATTCCTTTTTATTCAGTTTCAAAATGTATTATGCATTACCCATAACCATTTCCGGTGTTGCGTAAACTTAACTGAATAGCTTTCCGGGGAATTTGGATCGCACAGAAATGACAATAGATTCGCCCTTGGACATCAAATTAGGGAATAAAGGAAGTCTGCTCAATGCACCCTGGAATTAACACGAACTTGTGTCGTTTCTTCGTGAAAAGTTCATTCCTTACACAGCTACTGGGATGTGCTTACGCTTAGTTCAATTATGCATCTTCACGTTATTCTTGTTCTGACTCAGATATTACGATTGTTGTTTTCCGAGTTAAAACCAAAAATTCTAATGCAATGACGGCGAAAGTAAACCACTTGAAAACAAGACTACTGAAGAGTTTGCGGGGAACCAAAGACACTTCCGGAGATGAATTTAACCAGGTGACACTTTTGGACACGGTTGATTCGGCAATCCTTGTCTAAAGGTCTATCAGTCACTCCAAGTGTACTATCAATTAGCACAGATTATTCTGAGTAATACTGTTAGAATCGCTTCTACCCCGAACGAATTTTGCGAACCCAAGTGCCATCCTTCCTGTGGTAACGGTGTTACCACTGATGGGGAGGCATGCAAGTAGTATGCGCTGTTCTTGGAAGTTCATGAAAAAGGGAGATCTGTTGCGGAATTTGTGGAGTCGGTTTTGTGCGGTACGGTTTCGTTTCTCAGCCACACTGCCTTCTACCATGGCGCTTTTTCGACCGATTGTGTACGTGTTCAAAGTGGACGGTACGCCGTCAGGTATGACGATAAAAATGCCTGCGGCCTTCAGTGCACCACTACGAAGTGACTTGCTAAACTGGGTCCATGACCAAATGCGCAAGAATTCTCGCCAACCGTATGCGGTTGGCGCGAAAGCTGGCCATCAAACCTCTGCTAAATCTTGTGGAACCGGTTGAGCGGTTGCCCGTATCCCGCGTTTGCGTGGTGGCGCAACCCATCGTTCGGGTCAAGGTGCTTTCAAAAATATGTGTCGAGGAGGACACATGTTTGCACCTACTAGAGTTTGGAGGCGCTGGCACAAACGTATCAGTGTTAAACAGCGCAGATACGCCATGTGTTCTGCGATTGCGGCTACCGGTGTTCCGGCCCTCTTTATAGCACGCGGCCATAGGATTGATCGTCTACCCGAGGTTCCATTGGTGATATCTGATGACATTGAGTCGTTTTAGAAGACAAAAGAAGCAGTGAAGGTTCCCAAGCCAATAAAAAAGCTTGATCTGGTATCCGAAAGGTGAACTATTCGCGGCGCTTCATTGCTGCCCCCCGGGGTAAAATGAGCAATCGACGTCGAAATCAAAAACTGGAAATCCATCATCTCCTGAGTGCTTCTCATTAAACTTTCCTTCCATTCACTCCAACCATTCATTGCTCAGATCCAAGCAAATGCTACGAAGCGACTCCACAAATTCCGCAATAGATCTTCCCTTTTCAAAAGACGCAAAACGAATTTCCAAGAACAACACATGCTATTCGCATGCCTTCCTATCAGTAGTATCACCGTTACGCTGGTAGCAATAAGTTGGTTTTACGGACGGGCGCTTAGATGCTGCTGATTGACCAGCTTTATCAAATCACACGTGACAGAGAACAGCTCGTAGTATGTCGAGGTTTTGTTACTGCGCTGTTTTCAGTAGCTGCTATAACGGAAGCGATTGATCTGTTCGGCAGTCTTCGAGGTTGTCCTCGTCCATCCAATAGCTTAAAGATGATATGCAGTCACATGGCAGGGGCATTTGCAAACTCATAACTAACGCAAAATTTAATTGGGTATGTTAACGTAATTAGTTAAAGAAAGAATAAAGACATTTTTAATTATCAGTAGCCACATAAACGATGTATTATGCGCGAGTTTTGGCATTTTTTTGTTTACGACGGATGTCAGTAGGCACACTGAAATTGCGAAACTTTATTATTCCCTTGGTGAAAGCGCCCATTGTACAGAATGCAACTTCAGTCCCAGAGCACCACGGCATCTTCGTCAATAACTCAGGTGTCTCAGTTGACCGGCAATCCCCGCGCCAGCGTGCATCGTATTATAATACGCCACCTTCATCTCGACCCGTATCATTTCACTGTATTACAAAACATCACGGAAGAAGACAAGGAGCAACGTGTCACGTTTGCTGACTGGCTGCTGGACAATGAAGAAATCGTTCCCGATATTTTATGGAGTGATGAAGCAAATTTTTCTGTCGATGGCATTATCAACGAGCACAATTGCGTGATATGGTCCCGCGAAGCTCCCCACGAGTACCTCACTTATAATCTCCATTACCCTCCTCTCTGTGTGTGAATGTGATTCTCCTCAAAGTGTCTCCTGCCTCCCTTTTTCTTTGACGTTACGGTTTCTGGCGACAGTTACCACAGTATGATGTACATGCATGGTATCACGCAACTCAAGCAGCACAACTCAAGCGCTCCACCCGACTACTCAAACCAAGTGAGAACTTACCTCTGAGAGCAATTTTCTGATGAGAGAGTCATTGCTCGTCAGTTCCCAAACTTTTGGCCTGCAAAGTCACCTGATCTAACACCGCTAGATTATTGGTTTTAAGTAATGATCAAGGCTCGGGAACTGCATGAAGATAAGCCAAAGAATGGAGTTAGGAGCGGGAACTGAAGAGGAGTTTGCACGAGTGACGCTTGAAGTTAAACATGCTGTGTCTCACATCACATACCGCCTGTAGCTTGTTATGGAAGAAAGGAGCAATTAATTCCAACACTTTTGTAATGCCAGTTTGTTTACAGTAAACCCTCATAGTGCACGTATACTGATATGAAAAATAATAAATCTTTAAATCAACGTTAAAGTTTTACTATGGGTATTATTTTTTGCGTCTATTATTAGGCACCCTGTAGGCTTCAAGCCCGAAGAAGATAGCAAAGTCTACCCCATTAGGAGCGTATGACGTGTGGCTATTTGGATGTCAGCATTACACCAGCATTCCAGCCATTTTTGATGCATGTGGATGTCAAGCTATCCATGTTCATTCAAAGTGGTGTTCTGCAACCACGTCGACTACCCCATTCACAAAACTGACGCGGAACACACCAGTACTCGACACTGCAAATACGTCGTCTCTCACTCCCAGAAAAACCACGGTACTTGCGGACCCACCACAATAACGTGTACGCTCCAGAATCATTAAAATTACATTTTTGGCGCTTGGAATTTTTATTTTAAAGGCAGTATTGTTATATTGATTCCCTACATCCCTTTCCAGCTTCCTGAACATCTGTGTAAGCAACTGGGTTAATAACTGGCAAATTTGACTAGAGAATGTGGGAAGAACCAACTGAAGCAACATGCTGTAGGCACAAACTCAAACACATTCAAACAAATGAACAAACAGAAATGAGGTTCGTCCAAGTGTAACGTCGTTAAGCCAAATTCTCTGCAGTACTATGGGGTCTTGATAAACCTCCAATTTGCGTCATGCTCGCAGATCTACCGCAGGTATGCAACAGTATAAAATAATAAAAGACAAAAACCCTCGGATTCCCATCCACAGCGGATAAGTTATCCTCCGAACAGATCAGAACTCATGATATAGTTTCAATATATGTATACACAAACAAAGTGTAGAAATGTTGCAGAAACCAAAAACTAAGTGGCCGATTACGCCTTCTTTTTTTTGTTGCACAATTTCGGTGTCATTATTTCATATGGAATACAAGGACAACAGTAACCATGATGAAGAAACGATTTGGAACTCGAAAGACTGCACCAGCCGTGCAAAGGTCTGTGTAGCAACAGCCTACCTTCACACCGGCAACATTCCCGATTTCTGCACCGTTTAATGGTGGACAAAAAGGGGAACATTTTATTGTCAACGAGCTCAATGCGTTGCCAGCATACGCTTTGGTGACCTAAACAAAATGGAAGCGGTACAACTATATTCAACATGGTAGGAAAACATGTTCTGCAAAAAACAGATGATTACTCTGTGGCCAAAACGCCACCACGTCATACGCTGTAAAAGTGATCACGTGTTCGAATAGTGTATGCATTAGAAGTTTAATAGATAATAGTAAAAAGCTCCAGGATGTCTCACTGACAGCGAGATATCTACAGGACCTATAGTAAACTCCCTTCAATGCGTTGCAGCATACGCTTTGGTGACCTAAACAAAATGGAAGCGGTACAACTATATACAACATGGTAGGAAAACATGTTCTGCAAAAAACAGATGATTACTCTGTGGCCAAAACGCCACCACGTCATACGCTGTAAAAGTGATCACGTGTTCGAATAGTGTATGCATTAGAAGTTTAATAGATAATAGTAAAAAGCTCCAGGATGTCTCACTGACAGCGAGATATCTACAGGACCTATAGTAAACTCCCTTCGACTTTGTATGAACATGCGCGCTTCCGACTCGAATATGACAGATTTACAAGGTTTTATTGTGAAGCAAAAGCTAGCAAAGTACTTTTACAAGGCTGGTCATTAGGAAGTTATCATTCTGACAATCATGAATAAAACTGACCCTCGGTTGTCGTGAGACCAGTTTTTTACTCGTATGCGCCTTTACAATAGAAGGATCCTAAACAGTTTTATGCATTCCATCGTGTTTATCATGCCACATTATAAAAGTGGATGAGATCCCTTAAAAGGCACCCAGCAAAAAACCTTTTAGTGCTAAAGAATTTTAAAAAAATCGGAGGCACAGTGTTTAAAATGTTTTTTTTCACAAATGCGCGATGTTGATTTATTTGTATTTGTGTGTACTTCTCTGATGGAAAATGAATTTTGTAAAACCACTCGTTTGGTTTTTCTTATCTAGAGGAGGGAGGAATGTTGGAATGCTCGCGATAAAAATGAAATATCGACTTCTGAACATGAGAGGAACAGTTTTAGTTTCACACCGGTAATGGGCTAAACAGGAGTTGCACCTTAAAGCCGATTATTTTTACTGACTTGGTATAGATTGACTCCAGCAATCTGTTGAACCACGACGAGTTATGCGCAAAACCCCAAAAGCCAATTCTTTCAAATAGAGGCTTATCTACAAATGCGGTAATATAAGTACAATAATAAAATGATAAAACTTTATAAACCACAAATCGTGGGACTATGCCGGCTTCTATACACCGGTTTAGTAATTGCTAACTCCTAACGGGTCTCAAAGTCCACGCCGACTCGGAGCCACGTGTTTACAAGCTAGAGAAACCACGTGTGAACTTAAACAACACGTCCGATGACAAGGTCAAAGAACGGTTCATGTTCAGGTCAAAAACAACAAGGGTGGTATAGACACAAACCAGTATAAAAATAGAGGAAAGGAATCGACACTTGGGACTACCGCTGACTATTGCTTCCAGGAATTTCTAACTAGATAATTTGAAAGGAGTCCCCCTTTTCGCACAATCGCTTTCAAGTGAACATCCTACTTCAGTCACATCGATTAATGTACCCTTGAAGGCAGAATCTCCGAATGCCTGGTTAGCAAAAAACACGTGTTGGCTACACAGTCGTCTAAAAAACTCTTGTTTAGAGCTAGTGTACAAGGTTTTTATCAATTTGCGTCGGCGAACGTTTGAAAATGGACAAAAGAAGAGGCAATTTATGCATAGTTGAAAAGACTGGAGACTTTATGGGCACACGCACACTCTAAGCATGCTGCAGTGTCTGCAAATGTGATCACCACGCTGACAAGAAAAAGATGTCGCAAAACAGTATAACGGGATTCTCCACTCAGAAAATTTGACTTGTCAACAATGAACTTGCAGTCTACCTGGCCGTTATCTCAGCTGAAAAAGTTGACTGTGAACCAATAGTTCGTTTCTAGTTAGCAGTCCAGTTAGCAGTCCTCAAGGGGTTCCTGGAAACCAACAGTCCGTTGACGTGAAAATCTACTGACAGTGAGATCTTGAGGTATCTTAACTCATATAAAACATCGCGTTTATGGATTTCAGTGCCGAACAGTCTTCTCTCCACAGTGTCATGGGCAAAGCCGAAAGCCAAAGTTCACCTACCAGGCACGCTTTACAGTCGTCCTTCACAGTGACATTTCCTTCTTTTGGATCGTCCGGACATTTGTCACAATCAAAGCACTTTAGTCCATTGGCTAAAATGAGATATTTGAGTAAAGATA